TTGATCTTCGGATTTCATTATCTTCTTTGGCCGATAAGCCTCAACCGATAAACCAGTATTTCTTGATGGATTTACTACGCCAATTTTGTCGATCTACCTTTTAGCCTGTGACATTAAGTTTTTCTTTATTCACATAATTGATTCAAAAGTATATATAATTACATGATATTTTATATTGCTTTCTTACTCAAGTAATTTTTCTTTGTACTTCACAATACATCATATCTGAACAGTTATATTAATTATGCATTTCTTTTCAATATTTTTATGTACTCGATACTTTTATTTACCTGATTGCTTATTTGTTTTTTAGTGACTATATAAAAAATTTGTAACTGTATATTAAGGATTTGACCGATACAGTATAAACTTATATACCAATTACATGTTGCTATCTAATAACTCAATAAGGAAGTGGGAGGTATTATGACGAAGTTAAATATTTTCGATCGTATAATGAGATGCATTGATCGAAATCAACCAATTTTGGTATCACCTGATTCGTCTTATCGAGTCAAGTCGAATGATACCAAAATCATTCGATTCTGATCACTGTATCACGAAATGAGATTATCTATCGTTGGCCCATTGTTTTGCAGTACCCAGTCCTATTCAAGAATTTCATTTTTATAATTGATGAGTACTATATTTGGGAATATATTATATAAAGTAGTAATATACTATACACCGGACCTTATTCTGGTAACGATGATGAGTAATACTTGGCATTTGGTCTTATTTATAGGATATTATTTTTGAAGGATACTATAAGCAGTGAATGTAAACTATATGCAACCTGTTGTCTATTGATCTGAATCAAATCGAATGCTTTTTGGATATGCAAAAGTTTACAATTATGAACATGAGGCGTAAACGTGGGAAAGGTAGTTACCCAGTTACCCAGATCTGAACCTGAGAAATGTTGATTCTCAATCTCAGGATCACGGGATAAACCAGTTAGCCAAATTATGTAAAATTACTCCTGTCTACCCTTATAACTAATACATTACAATTACAGTATGTCGAAAAAAAATAATTACCCGGGTTGATTTCTCCTCGATTTATTATTATATAAAGATGTGTTTTTCGCTCGAAGGGGGGAGAGTTCTCACATTTACTTGCTTACAAAGAATTTTAAAATGCGCACGCACACGTGATTCCATAGTCGGTCCGCTCCCGGTCCTAGAGATGTAGATTGAGTATGACATTATGAAAATAATGAGTCTATCGCTATTTCAAATGATACTTTATCAAATTGCGTACTTTATCACTTTCTAAATTAGTACGATAAAACTCAATTATTTAACCGGTCTGATTCACGTTTAATATCTTTTTAGGTACGTATGTATGTATGTATGTACGTGTGGATCATAACAGATAACGAACAGCCTTATTAGACAGTAATGCATTTGATAATTTTTTACGCCCTTTCATCAAAGCTTATTAAGCTTTTATGCATTATTTAATGATTCAGATAAGATAAAGGATTTGTTCTTACAAAGTTTTGTTTCTTTTCAAAGGGTTTAGCCTTTTTATACTGAAGAATCTATCAATTCAAAAATTATACCCAAAAATATGTTCAAGATCTATCTTATTTTTATGTTCATTATGACACTCTTTTCGTTTTCAGTATTCGCGTATCAATTGGTCTTATCGAATAAAAATGGGTCATTACCAGGTACTTGATGACTTGATCAAGTTTAATTAATAACCATGGATGCGGAATTTTCCGATAAATTTATCCTTTTTAACATACAGGGGATGTCAAAAGTCCATGTGTTGAGTGTCCGCATCCACCAACAGAGTGCGATTTACCGTGTAACAGTATTAAGAAAAGAAGCTCTGTCTGTATTATAACTCAACGAACTTGTACTAAATGTCCAAAGAAAACTTGTAAACCCGCTAATGATCCAGGCAAGTTTTCCATTTTCAGTTCTATATTTTTTTTCTTTTTTTTTCCTTAAATAATTTGGTTTTTTTTACACATTTGCGATTTCTTAATTAGTTTGTGTAAATTGTTTCACGTATCCGATATGTTCGCCATGTGCAAAAGATGAACGATGTTGGATCGATAAGCCGAATTGTTATAACTGTGGGTCATCTCATTGTATTAAACCACCTTTAAGTAAGCTATTTTTCTCTCCTATTACAAACCGATTTATAATCAGTAAATTAAAACCTATCTTTTCTGAAAAAAAAAAAAGAATGCATTACTTGCCCATCAGAAACTCCAAAACCTTCAAAATGTCCAAAAGATTATAAACGTTTAGAAATTCCTCGATCATGTTTTATTTGTGCTCAGGTTGTTTGTGTGCCTAAACATTATTATCTGCCCGATAAACCTCATTCATTTAAAGATAGTGATTTTCCGTGAAATTGTTATTTGAATTAGAGTTGCTTGATTATTTGAATGATTGGTTTATTATGCTACAGGCTATGGAGGATTTCTTAGGCAAAAAAAAGAAAAATATGCTATATAAAAATTATAAAGATGTGTGTGTATGTTTCTTTTTTTTTTGACTAGTATTCATTATAATTGAGTATATATATAAATCTTCAAAATTGTATGAAAACTTTTATCAAATAATTATGGACAATAGAATATATATTTTACTTTTTTTTCTTATGGAGATTCAAACCATAAATTTGATGTTTAACCTGGTGTAAATTATATGTTTAACCAGTTGACCCGGTTAATTTATACAGTATAAAAAATAAAATTTGTTAAATCTACAAGTATATATAAATATAATTGTTAGCTTCGATTGCTCATATAAATCAATTACCTGGATAGCTATCGCTATATAAGTGTTAATTTCACTGTTATACAAAATAATCTCGAGACAATATACTTACAGTAAAAGGTATGCCTTACTATTTACTAACTTAGAAAACGAAGTTATTTTGATTACACAAAATCATATGATTTAATCTCACATTTCAGCATTTTTTTTATGTTCTTAATGTGTTAATGAGCAAAAAATAAATCATGTGCTTTGTAGTATATTAAAATTAAGAACAATCAAAGTTCTTTAAAAGCAACAGAACCATAATTTAGATATTAAAAAGGGGATAAAGAGAGAAAGCATTAGTGTTTCAAGCAGATTAAATTTTTATAGCTTGACTAAACCAAACCATTAAATTTTTAGTACGTAAGATCAATGAATTGAAACAATGCTACTAGCGTAGCTTCATTAATTTTTAATTTTATCTAATAGGATTTTATTTTATTTCTGATGATGCTATTCATACTAAATAGCATTATTAGATTCCTGTAAAGGTTAAAATGATTAAATGCATAAGAATTTTATAGGTATAATTTCTGGTCTCTATTTCGTTCTATTTGTTTAATGAGAATAAAAAGACCAATAATCAACGTACTCCAATAAGCTACTCAAAGCTTGTAACATTATATCTCTTATTCGAGTTTTTATTCACGTAAATATAATGGGCGACAGGGCTAAATACGATATATAGTAAATGCCGGACATCCAAAGTGTTGTTCTTGATGCATAATTATTGCATCAAAGAACAATAGTAAATTAAGAGAATTCTATTAGCTATTTAATATTTTAGATAGATCAAAAGCGACATTTTGGATGGCCGGCATTTACTATGTGTCGTTTTAGCCCTGATGGGCAGGTATAAAGATCACCTATTAATCGATGTGTTTCATAATTTTAAATCCCCTATTAATCGATGTGTTTCATAATTTTAAAATCCAAAGTCACGAATTATAGTTTAGAAATGTATGGTTTCATTTACGGATGAACTCAAGAGATTACTATGATTTAGCATAGCACGAAATTTAGATATGATTATGGTTTTGATTTAAAATCTGTATATTTATTATAATTATATCGACATACTAAAACATGGAAAACGGACAAATATTTCTTGGCATACTATGTGAGGAGTCACCAATCAAAATGTAGCATAGAAGAATTATTACGTATACAAAATTAATTGTAATGCTATTTATAACAACTTACTCATAATCAGAAGATTTTCTATCCAATTAACCTCGATATATTATTACGTGTTTTAAAAAATAAAAACTTTATGTTGTGACAAGTTGTATATAAAATTAAATATATACTCTTTAAGTGCATAGATTATGTAAATGCACGGTATAGTCCGGTCCCAGCTGACAAAATATAGCGATATATAGATAATAATTAATATACTCCACGTTACAATTAATTTTGACCGGACCAATACGTATTACTAAACCATTTTCAAATTTCCTTATTTGTAACATAGATTGACCAATCAAATCGTAAATTTTTAAAAAAAAACCCCCGAAAATACCAGAAATTTAAAACCTGCCTTGAAGCACTAATAAAAAATGCGAGAGAGCAATTTTACCTATAACCAATCTTTACCCTAATTTTAATTGCTCGCTTTTACTATCTTTCCAAATAAGGAATTTTGAAAATGGTTCGGTAATATTAGTCCTAAAGAACTGTTTCTATTATAAATTCATCTTAATGTTACAGAGAATTATATGATGATACGTAATCGAATTAACTATCTTTTTTGATTGATTTAGGAATGACACGCATGATCATTTGTTACAAACAAATCTACGCTCTATTTGAGAAAACCTGTAATTCTTCATCTAAAGGTTTTTCTTTGCGGGCATTCATTGTGTCTATCACTAAATCTATCTTTTTTCCACTTCTATAAACTGACATTTTTGTTCATTTTTTGCAGTACCAATTATTTTTGTAACATTGTTTTGCGCAAGGGAATTTACTCTTTCAGCTGACT